TATTTAATCAAATTAATTTTTAACTATATTTTTTTATAAATTTTTACTCATAAAATTAATTTTATGAGAATGATAAGTTCTTTTTCACCATACAAAGGATTGTAGTCTTTATCATATACTACTTTTGCCTTTTCTTTTGACAATTTTACTTTGTAATAGAAATCACAATAATTGATATATTTTAATAACTTGTACAATCTATCATAGATTGCTCTACCGGCTAGAACTACTCTATTTTAATTTGATTTAATTTTTCTGTTATTTTTCTATTAATATTAATAGAAGTTTTATATGGTAGATTATTCTAAAATATTGTACAAAATTTATAGACCATTTAGAAAGAAAACTAACTTTTTATACTAAAATGAAATTAGGTTAATAGTTAATAAACTAATAATTAAATTATGCCATACAAAATGCACCCTAGAGTTTTTTTTTTAAAAAATAAAGGTTTATATATAAAACTAAGTGGCTACAGTAGTTCTTGGGAACACAGTCTAGATACAGTCATGAAACAAAATTGAAGAGATCCTAAGAGGGCTCTCCTCATACAAAACAAAATCCATGGCACTGGTAGTTTTAAGTTTAGTTAGGAAATTAGCAACTACGTTGGCTTCCCTACATATATGAGATATCTGAGGATCAAAAAAGTGTTCCAAAAGTGATTTGCACTCAGAGATAAGGACACCAAATGAATGCAAAGAAGTATCAGTAGACCCAATAAGCATAGTTGCAATTTTAGAGTTAGTTTCAACAAAAATCTTAAAAAACCTTTTAGAAATAACAACATCCAAACCATCTCTAATAGCTCATAATTCTACAGAAATGTTAGTGGTCCATCCTATATTTCATGAGAAATCAAATATCCACCTACCAAGATGATCACGAAGAAGACCCCCAGCCCCAGCCATACTAGGGTTTCCAAGGGCAAAACCATTGGTATTGAGCTTGGCAAAACCAGATGGAGGGGGAACCCAATTCACAGAAATGATGTTTTTGGGTTTGAATTCAATGTAGATAGGGTTGTGCCTAATAAATTCTTGAGCTTTGTCCAAAGTAGTGCAGCTCAACAATAGGAATCTGTTTGCTGTCATGCATAAGTTGATTTCTGGAGTACCATATGGACCAGACAGGATAAAAAAAATAGTAGGCCAAGGAACAATGCACCTTAGAGTTAATTTTGAAGAATTACATGCTTTTAACTTTCAAGGTATTATATTCATCAGCGTTAGCCTTTTCAACTTTTCAACCTCTTGTTTTTGTCTAGTAACACATATTGTATTTGGATTTTGGAGGCATTCCCTTTCTTTGCCAAGCCTTGCTGCCTTCACTTTGTCTTTTCAAACTCCTTTTTTTTTTTTT